AAAAATTTTAAAATTAAAATCAAAACTTGTGGCTTTATTGACATTAAGTAATTTGTTCATTAAGTTTCCATTTCCAATAACTCAAAATCTACCTCACTTTATTTTTTAAAAAAATACATGTAATATTTTTTTTTGGTACATATACATGTAATATTTATTTATTTTAAAAACCATCTCAAAAATAGATTTATATATTTTTAATAAAAATACATATTTAAAAAAAATATGGATTTATATGTATCCCTTTACTACTGTTTCATCCTAATACAAATCAAAAATTTTCTGCAACAAAAAGGCATATATAAATTCATAATTTTTAATTTTTTTCTTTTTTTTTAGTTTGTGTTTTTATTAAAAAATATATGAATTTATTTTTAAGATATTTTTTTAATAAAAATAAATACTACATACGTTTTTATATAAAATAAAGTTAGGTAGATTTTGAGATACTGGAGATGGAGATTTAATGAGTATCATTTAATACTAGCAAAATCACAAATTTTGATTTTAATTTTGAATTTTTTTTTAATTTTTATATTTTCATATTTTGAGGGTTTTTTTAATATTTTTTAAAATTTAGATTTATCTAAAAAAAATTTCAATTTAGTCTATTGAAAAAAAAAAGAAGTAAATCTGCAATATGAAGAGAGAGACGGTGAAAGAGGAGAGAGAAGATGAATGGAAGAAAAGGAACTAGATGAGGATTCTTTAGTAATTTTGCAGTAATTTTGCAGTTTAAATTGACCATATCATCCATCAATGCCATCTCAGCACCAAACCACTTCTTGGTAACGGAGTAACAAGGATGTGGACGGAAAGATGACATTTGATGAGGTCATCGTCAGCAGAAGGGCTGATTTGCGGGTTTTGTCAAGTGGAGGGGCTGATTTGCTCTACGTTTAGGTAGAGGGGCTGATGTGCCACAACAATGGACGTAGAAGGGCTGAATTGCACCTTCTGCCATATATATATACACTTATCAATATGTGTATGCATGAGTTATTTTTTTATTTTTTCTCAAAAGGCTAGCACAGAGTCATTTCCTAATTTCAGTTCAACTATCCTGAAACGTTCACCACTCAGACATCACATTAACAGTCAGTGAAACATTGAGTATGTATTTCCTTGCTTGGTGGATCTTATGAAACTATGAAGATTTTTCCTTGCTTACCAAAAAACAGAAAATATTTTCCAAAGTGTTCCAATTTCCAAACAACCAAAAAAAATCCTTTTGGAGGAAAATATTTTCCAAAATGAGTCGTTTTTCGCAAACCAAACACACCCTTAAGCATTAGAATTTTGTGTAAAACAGAAGCTAAGAATCTCCATCCAAGTGAACCAACCATCCTCTAGAAGGAAAAAAGGAAAAAAAAAAGGGAGGAATTTTCAAGTGGATTAAATTTTTCTAGTAAACTTGCATTAAAGTGTTAATAAAGCCAGCCAGTTGATTCTTTCTTCCTTAGAACTTCATTGTTTGGACAGTTAGTCCCAGACCATGCATAGAAACACGGATACATTTCTTCATCTCAACTATATATTATAAAGTTCCATTTACACAATGCTATCTAAATCTCAAATCTAATAAGCATCTGAGGAACAAAAGAATAATGATCATCCGAACATTATCTATTTTTGCTTTCTTAGAACTGCTAATGATTGAATCAGCAGGAGGCCAGGCTCTGGCAATGCCTGGTTGTCAAGTGTTTTGTGGGAATGTCAGCATCCCATACCCCTTTGGAATTGGAGCAGATTGCTACATGAACAAATGGTTTGAGGTCTCCTGCAATGAAACTTCCACCCCTCTTACAACTTTAC